CGGAGAAATTAAAATGTTATGGGTAGCAAGTCACATCGGTTTATTAGGAAATGAGCAGACTGATCAAGCGGCAAAGTGTGCTGCTTCTGCTCCTGATGTCATGGAAAAGTTGGATCTTCAAAGATACATTGGAAGAAAAGTTAAAGAGAAAATTGCAGAAGGAAATTTACAATACCATCATCAACACTACTCTTGCATTAACCCTCAATTAACTCCACCTCTATATCCAACAAATGTTGAGAAAACCAAGATCCAAACATTTTCGTGAATTCGCCTTGGTTATACAATTGAAGAAGTCTTCCTCCCCAATCTGCAGATGTGGACAAACTCTCACTATAAAGCACATTCTCTGCGACTGCCCTAACTTTTCCTTGACTAGAAGTATTGCAATTGGAACGATTAACCCTTTGGACATTCTAAAATCAGCTTCAGAACCAAATATCAATTCTATGTAATACTTTATTAATACTACTAAGCTCATTATCTAATGTACATTTATTTATATTAGAGCCGATAGCCTGTACTGCTAGTGCTCAATGTCTTTTTTTTTTAGTCTAAGAATTTATTTCATTAATCTAAAATTACAATAATAACGTATATTTTCCATATGTGAATTTGAATTGGCCGTCGAAATGGTACCACCATGACCATAATAGGGAGATATGGTATATTGGGCCATCTTACATTTTTCTCTACTAGCACCGTGTTTGAATTATCCCTTAGTTGACCGGTATTTCCGTCTTTATCGACATTGTCCGTGATTTTTATACTTCAGGCAATCTGTTCGAAATTAACATTTCATGCTCTCCTGTAAGTACGCATGTCTTTATTGGAAGAACAAATACGTTCGAGTAGCGAGACGTCGCACCACCCCTATTGCAGAGGAGAATAAATCGGAAAACATGCGTGCGCTATTCAAAGTGTTTGTATAAAAGAAAGAATAATGAAACTGTGTTGTATGTTAGGGATGCGACGCCTGAAAGAATTTGCCCAGTTCGAGAAGGAAATTTACACAACTGTGGAAGACAAGATAGGAAGTCTTAACAAATTCGACAATTTAATGCTCAGAAACACTTATGCATTGCCCGAAAGAAGCTATTTGCAATGCGTTTCAGCATCGTTTGGAGAAGCACATGCATGAAACAAACATCGAAAGAGTTGTAAATTTTAACGCGCTAAAATGATTTTCCAAGCAAGACTTAATAAGTCTTTCCATCATAGGACAGAAACCGAAGAAAAACTTTTCTAATAATAAGCTATCGTCCAGGTTTATTTTTGTTAATATTCGTCCTTGAGGCAAAATATTTCATTGTATCTAATTTCGTCAGAATATCTCAAAAATTACGACTTGCAGGTTGAGAACTCTTGCGGACATACAGAGCGGGCGGACAAACTTAAATCGAATTAGGAAATCATTGTAAATAAACTGACATGATAAAATAGCGATCTTTATCAATTCTTTTTGTGTGTTACAAAGTTAATATCCACCTTCCATGGCAGACTTACTATAAAGTCTAATCAAAAGGAAAATCCGTCTAACCTAAGAAAAACATATTTAACATAAGGAAAACACATATAATCCTAAGCAATTTCTATCTAGTCGTAAGCGATTGGTTTGGTAAATTAATTTCCCTTCTGCAAATTCATCTGACTATTTACCGCAATATAACGTTCGTTTATAAAATATGCCATGAAACCATCAATATAAAATTACGATTACAGTAATCAGAGCAGCACTAAAACAGCAAAATTGTGAAGAATAAATATGAAGCTTTCTCAGCATTTAAAATATTTTGCCAAATTTTCATAATTAATCTAATATGTTCAACATGCGGTGAAAAAATACATTATAATATATTATAATATATTTATTTAGTTGTTTTTGCACCTATGCTTTCTAATATGTTCCTTATTTTCGAATCTTTACTTTTATTGTTTCTTTAATTGCTGTGAATAAAGCAGAGGAAGAGGTTATTAGAAAAGTAATATTCGAAATCAAAAACTATTTAATGAGCGAATTACAAGTTTTGTGCACACATGAACTTTTCGCTATTTTCTTAAATTACAAAGGCCTAAGAGACCTTTTATTCTCCTTTCAAAATCAAAATGTGTCTTTACGAGCAAGGGCGAAGGATGTAACTTAAAAACTATAACGTTATTACTTAAGATAGCTGAATATGCCGCAGAAAGAGCGAAGAGGTTAAATCTCCGTCCTCATCTTATTACACTCTCACTTAATTAATTACCAATAACCAAATTATTGGATTGCATTTTTACAAATAGAAACTATTTTTCAATCCTTTTCCAACACTTCTATAAGTTCGCGGGTCATGCTGTAAAAACAATATAGTACTTTGCAGTCTTCGTCGAATTCCTGCTGAAAACCATCAAGTTCTACAGCAAAAGGGATAAGTTTAAGTTTGTAACAATTTTCCTTTTCTTAAATTGAGGGTTTCATCTGATTGCAATTTTTCCATTTCCTCACTGAATGACCGCTGGATGTCCAATTCAGTATCATATTTACCCAATCGACCATTGGAAGTCGTGTTAAGCGTTTGCCAGTATTGGAATCAGATGTAAATTTCCAAACTGATGACTCATTTTGAGTCTCTTCTAATTTGGCTTTGTTAACGGTCGGAGATCCAATAAAACCGTGTGCAAAGCACACTAGGGTTTCAAAGCCCATTGAAAATCGATAAATTTGAAAGTAATGAAATTACCTTTGTTAAATTATGCAAAATCAATAGGTACCAAACCAATGTATAAACTATCTAAAAAATATGCAAAAAATTTTCATATAAAATAGTTTATCTGCTTGGTTTTAATCATTCCACATATATTAAACGAGATTTTAAACTTTTTTTCTTGAAAATTCGATAATATATGACGTTTTGCACAAACAGTAGCATTCGCACAACGCTAACGCTGATCTACTGGAAGAAGTGGTTTGAGGTATAACAAGATAGAAATTATATTCAGTTTGAGACGAGTTTTTTAACACTCCTGCAGCAAGCACATGATATCTGAATGCGAAATTGGGTACGAAACCATTCACTGCCTTTCCTATATACACAAAATTGAAATTAATTAAGTGTTGTGTTGTTTCGCTGCATCTCCAACAAAACTTATCTGATAGTAATTTTTATTCAAAAGATTATTCATATTAATGATCCGAGGTATTTGTACCTCTGTAGCTCTGTTCGTAAAATCAAAATGCACAATTGTTCTAACATTACCAAACAAAATTTCTAGCTCTGCAAAAGCAATACACTTTGTAATGGAAAGCAAATACTTAGATGCTTATCGAGTTACCGAATTAAAATACAATAAATAAAATGAAATACAATGGCTACTGCCGCTGCAAAGGTCGCAGTCTTTGATGACCCATACAGCTAGAAGTGTGAAATTTACAAGACCATGGAGCAGTACAGAATAACATGGAGATGATGTAGTGCTATATATATATGCAGAAGCTCGTTGTAAATCAACTAATTTAACTTGTCTTAAAACTAACACCGCATTACTTGTTATTTCCATTATCGTTAATTATCTTCTTATATTTACATACATTCGCAATAAGCGAAATAGCTATAATACACCAAGTTACACATCCCTATATGACTTTTTCGCCTTTTCCAATTTTTTCTGGAATACGCCGACAGATTAAATTAAAACTAAACGTATTGGTCCTCCCTGTTTTCACCGAGAAGAAATGTAAATGTAACGTCTTATCGATTTGAGTTTAATTGTCAGTGAAATTCAAAGTTCTCGGCTTTTGTTATTATTAAAAATTTTCATTTTTAGACTTACAGCGAATCACTAGTCATTAGGAAAAACAAACAGCCGAACTCTTGTTATAGTTTTTATAATTTGATATCAAATTTAGTGTTTCGGAGAAATAATCTCAATAAAACCTCCTAAGATTAACTTCGTTTTAAAAGCAGAATGCGGCGAAATATTGTTGTGGGAGCATGTTTCCAAGACATAGAATTTTCTACGGCCGATTGGATGAGTATGATCTAAATATTACGATATATGCGATCCCGCATGCCAGCATTATGAAATGCGGGCTTAGAATAGAATTACATTATATTTACAATTATTACTTTTTTTTGCTGTAGATACAGCTTCATGGTTCGACAAGAAAAACAGGCCTATATGCACGCTTCCAGTCGATCTAGTTCCTGCGCACATCTGCAATCTGTGATAAGTACCTTCGGTCAACGAAAAGGTTTGTGCGGGGTCATTTTTGTTTGAGATGTGAGGCTAGTATTTGCTATAAGTAAAATTGTACTTAGAATAATGACAAGAATTTGCCGGTAGCGTATTACTAAGGAGATTATATTCAATTTAAATTTAATTTACTTGAATTTCAAGAAAAGGATATGTTTCTCGTTTTTAGTTTCTATTTCGATTTTATCAACCTTGAAAGTTTCTGATTATTAAGTTATATATAAGGTGGTCTAAAGAATATTGGCGCCGATAATACATGGATGCGCAGATATAAAAGTAAAAATGCATACGACGTTCAATTTCTTAAAAGATTAATACTTTTTTGAACCAATTCATATTCTACAAATCTCCTGATTTTATATATATGAAAATTCTGGTGTTTCGTACAATCTAATAAATAAATAATGGAAACTATTTCTTTGCCGAATATGTATCAAAAGCATATCTTTGCTTACCTTTTGTCTTTGACCCCTATTTCCCAACAATCTGTGTTTTTAATGATAACCTTTATGATGATGCGAATTCATCATATTCGACATATAAGCATTGTGCCCGCTAGCTGTGGCGTTTAAGGAGAGAACATCAGTAATGTTGGGCACATTATTTTGAGCATAAGCTTGGGAATGCGCTTGTTGAGAATAATAAATATTATGAGCTCCATATGTAGAAGGTGCTGACGTCGTTGTGTGATAATTGGGTACTTTCATGGTAAAAGCAGATTCTAGGCCAGTAGTTGCTTGATGGTTATTATGTGGTGGTGGCTGATGAAGATGATGATAAGAATTGTTAGCGGTTGCCGCTCCAGCACTAGTTTGATGCCTTCTAGATGAGTGGCTATTAGTGTTACGGGTACGATTACTAGATGTTAATGTCTATAAACCAGATATAATGACTTCGTGTTGAGCATCATCATCCATATCAGGCATTTCTTGCTTGTGTACTACTTGCTGTTGATCGCTTTGTTGCTGTTGAGGTGCTTGGGCGGGCTGACGAGGTGCGGTTTGTCCTTAAATATTAGAAATAGTATTTGATTTTTTTAATCAAATAACATAATTTACCATATTTCTCATGGATACCCCTATGTCGCTTCAAAGCAAAACGATCTGCAAACGCGGCTGAACAAATGTCACATTTAAATGGTTTTTCACCAGAGTGAACTTTGGCGTGATTTTTTAAATGAGCTGCCTGTGAAAAAGCCGAACCGCAAATTTCACATTTATATGGTTTTTCACCAGTGTGAATACGTCTGTGATTCCACAAAGTCGCATGGCGAGCGAAACCTTTGTCGCATACTTCGCACACATACGGTCGTTCGCCACTATGTGTCCGCTCATGATTCTTAAGGTGAGGTGACTGCGAAAATTGCATTCCACAAGTTTGACATCTGGAAAAAATTCGAAATATTTAATATTCTTGAGCAAAATGCATACTTACTTGTAGGGTTTCTCGCCCGTATGTATACGAGCGTGGTTTTTCAAATAGACAGCCTTTGCAAATGCTAAACCACATATTGTGCATTTGTAATTTTTTTCACCGCTATGCAGCTTTTTATGCGACCATAAGCTAGAATAACGTGAGAAAGTGCCTCCGCAAATATTACATGTAAAAGGCTTCGGAGTTCTGAAGAAAAGTATTTCGTTTTTTACTAATTTTACAAAAATAAAAGGTAAAGAAAAAAGACCGTAACTTACTCTGTTTTTATCGTAGCAGTTGCTGCAGAACCATGTTTGTGAGCAGGTGCTCCGCTACCCACAAATACTACCCCCGAGCCATTACATTTGCCGCATTTTGTTACTTTAGCCGAAGATGGTTTCTTTTTGACTGCTGGCGAGGGTTCGTTATTGGGCGTTCCACTCTCCCTTTTGAGAGCTTGATTATGATTTCCACCGCCTTGATTCGTGACCATTTGAAGCTGTTGTTGACCTTGCGAATTGGCGGATAATATTTGTACCGGTTGCAATTGATTTTGTAGCATATTCTGGGCGTTTAAGGAATCCATGGAAGACTCAGAATTACCGCTAGGCAGTTCGTTCATTTCGAATTTGATTTCACCGTCTGGAGTTACTAGGAAAGGTGTGGTCCCTTGATTTGCCGCCGCTAACGCTTGCTGAGCCTGTTCGCCTTGAATGCAACTGTCGCACCGAACAGCCTTCACCGCTTTACGTTTAACCGGTTGTAGAAACTGTTGGCCACAGCTTAAGCACTTACTTTGCTCCAATTTTAAAGGTTTACCTACCGAAACTTCACCAGAATGTTGCTGCTGTTGTTGCGCTTGATGACTGGACTGATGTTGTTGTTGTTGGGATTGTTGTTGTTGCTGCTGCTGCTGTAATACTGATGTGGCTGGTTCTAGTGCTTCAGTAGCCACTATTTGTATTTGGCCCATCTGGCCATTTTCGGTTATGATATTCTGAGTCTGCACTAAACCTTGAGCGTTTACTACCGCTATAGCGTCCGGCTGACTTTGATGCTGTTGCTGCTGCTGTTGTTGTTGCTGTTGTTGTTGCTGCTGCTGCTGTTGTTGTTGTTGCTGCTGCTGCTGCTGTTGTTCTACGCCTTCCTGGGCGTGTATACGTTTATGGTGATTCAATAAAGCCAAGTGATGGAACATTAAACCACAAATATCACACTTAAAGCTTATATTTGATATAGTGTTTTGTAAAGGAGAAATTGCCTGAAAACAAAACAAGGAAAATGATTCCATATCTCTCTTCTTAATCGTCCCAACAACCTACCGTTGCAATCGGTTTATTCTGATTTACGATCTGTAAACGTCCTTGTGCATCCACGGTGGCTATACCAAAAGTGCCACCTTGATTCAATTGCATACCCGAATTAACTAATGCAAAATTATAACCACCCACGGGTTGTGCTATATAACAAGTCTTATTATCGTCTGTGGTTAATTGGGCTAGATTTACTGTGGCTGCGTTACCCTGGAAATATCGAAAATACTTACACTTTATATTACGTTTGATTATAGAATACATACATTTGTTGTGGTATAATAGAAAGTGGGCTGATCTTTCTGTCCTTCAATTTTTGGCTGTTTCAAAATAGTACCGTCCGCTGTCTGATATTGTATAGTAGCCGGTTGTACATTGGCACCTATAGCATTTGTAAATATAATATTTTTTGTAATATCCTCCATCATTTATAGGACCGCAGGGTTGAAAGAAAATCTTGCAATAAGAGAAAATAAATATTGTGTAAAAAATATTTGTTTAAATCAAAACACCCGGAAACTTTGAGAAAATTTACACGTTCATATCAGTTTAATTCCCCGTTTTAAAGCCCGAAACGGTCCTTTAGTAAACAAACAATTGCTTTCGGCTTGGCAATGCTGCACAAAATGAGAAGAAACCTAAATGAAACTCGCGCCTTAAAATAAAACAGACACTTTGGAAGGAGACGGCTATATTTCATCGTACGTCGATTAGATCAGGGTGATGAAATGCAATTCAATGAAAGAATGAAATAAAACAACAACAAAATGAAAAGCACTAAAAAAGGAGAACAAGTAAAATACGATTTCAAATATGGCGACGACAGAGACGCAAAATATATATATGTGTGAGCAAAGAAATCAAATCAAGATGACAAATAAATTTCTCACGCACTTTTCAAAAAAAATGGAGCTCGTCTAATAGAATAACTTAAATCGCCAATGTCGCTTTAAGAACTAAAAAATGTTTACTCTTAAATTATATATTTCTATGAGGCAAATCAATTTCGTACCTTTTTTACGCAACAGCTTCAAAAAGTTTCTTTCCAACCAAGTACTTCTCGAAAATTCTTCACCACTATGGTCCTTTTTGATTTTTTGTAAGCAAATTTTCGAATGTTTATTTGTTATTTATCTGCCGCTTTTTTAGTGGTAGCAGTCACTGCAGTTTTTCTTTTTCTAACAAATTTACTTGAAAATATCACACATGAGATGCACTGAAAATTGATGTTGGAACAATTTTTCTACCATATTTTTCTCGCACACACACATCAGGGCCAAAGGTAAAACACTACTATACATACTACTCTTCTTACAAACATTGCAAACGTAACGAAATCGACCGTGCGATGACAAGACAGCCATCTATATGTGTAAAACAGACAAGAGAAGCAATATGGCGGCCGCTTCGTTTTTTTCTTCTCTTGCGTTTTTTGTTAATAATACGCAACCTTTTGAAGTCATTTTACTTGAAAATTATATTAAATTTCAACTTTATTCTTTACGAGTACATTTTTTTGTAAAGTTTTTTAGTTGCTAATAATTAGATATTCTAGTTGTAATTATTTTTACTAATGTTTTAATCCGCCTTAAAATTTTCTTAACCGTTCACTCTCGTTCAGCCGAATGAAACGCGAAACATCATTTCAACGTTTTGTACATCTAGCCCTGTTAGTGGCTTTTTCCATCTTCCTTAGAGAAAAAGAGAAGAAAGGTATTGCCAAACAAAAGCACTAAGTAATAATTCAGGATGCCAACATATTATTTAAGCTTGGGATTTGATTACCAATTATGGGGATTGTTCGACGAAGAGTAAAGTAGAGATTGTTTATTGTAATAATTATTTTGATTTGATTTAATTTTTTTCTTATTTCCATATCATTTTTTTTAAGTATCTGCAATATCAAGAAAATTTGTCTGCTAATATCTCGGTCTAAAAAAAACGTTAAAATATATACAGGATAACTTGTATAGTTCTAGGAGAACATGAACAAATGTATTTGTATCGAATTGCTTTCATATAATTGCACATTTGATTGTCTTACTATATCCTTAGGCAAACTAAAAACTTATTTATTTTAAAAAATTGCTTCTAAATTTCATTCAATGAACACATCTATTAGGTGTGATTTATATACTGGAATATAGTAAATAAGATAATAATCGTGGAACTAAAGAAAAGCGAGAACACAAAACTAACAAGAAAAAAGAAAATGAAAAAAATGGAACTTCTTTGAGTAACATATAATTTATACAAAAAGTTAGAATAGCAAATCCCTTTAAAAATAAATGAGATTAAAGATAACTTCTTAAGTTCCTTTTCTCAAGAAAATCTTTCTTAATAATTTTTGCTAAATAGCTATTTTAAAATTCTTCGTTAAATGTTAAATTGCTATATAACAGAGTTGGACCTTTGTTTTGCCGACGGCTTTGCATTTTACCAGATCTGGCCTTTGTTTTCTGGTAAGTTGGGCATTTAACCATTTAACAGAGCTGCCATTTTTTGACTATTTTTTTTATTTATTACAAGCAACAGGGAATTTAGCAAGGACTTTGTTTAAAAATTATGGCGGTCTAATTTTAGGCTAACTTGTTAAATTAAATAAGTTTTGTTCGCGTATTTTCCAAAACCACCAGCCGATTTATCAATTCCATGCGTTTGCAGTCAACTGTTTCCACTAACACGGACACATTGGATCGAAAAGTAAGAAAACGGAAAAAGCGTAAAGCAACATACGTATGTCCAAGCAATTTGCATTTTTCATTTTGCAATGCCGACGGAAATTCGCATTTTGCAATGGATTTTAACAGATTATGTTAGTTGGGCACTCAACCATTTTTGGAAATTTTTTTATTTATTATAAGCGACTCTGCGCCTTAACTTTCAACAGGGAATTTAGCGAGGACTTTAATTGTGACGGTTTAATTCTAAGCTAACTTGTAAAATAAAAGAAATTAAGAAATTTTATAATCGCGACTCTGTGCTTTGCCTTTCAACAGGGAATTTAGCGAGGACTTTGGTTTAATTCTAAGGTAACTTGTAAAATAAAAGAAATTAAGAAATTTTATAATCGCGAATTTTATCAGACTTTGTAGAAAGGCAGTGTTTACGTTACAATTTAATATTTTGTTTACTAGCTTGTATCAAATTTTGTCGTGGATTTTATTTTGTCGAAAATATTGAAAGTGCTTAGAGAAGTGGTTTACCTGAATGCTCGTGTTGCTTCTTTTACTTACTTAGGTGCTGGTAAGCCGAACAACCATTTATTTTAATATTTTCATGAATCTTAAATGATAATAAAATATAATATTATATTTTATATTAATTATCGAAACAGTAAATATATTAATTTCCTTTCTGCGACAACCTTACGCTGGTCACATCCTTAAGTTGGTCACAATCTTTTGTGGGAAGAAAGGATCGATACTTAGATTATATCTTAGACATACACATGCAATAAATTTAACCAGAGAAAAAATTCTTTTCATTTAAAGCTCACTTGAGATTTGAAGCCACTCGGGCGGATAACTTGTAAAATTAAATAAGTTTAGTTGGCATATTTTCCATAGAAGAGCGAAAGCGACCAAGTCAATTAAAAAGAATCGGAAACAATCAGGAGACCATTAAAAAGAATAACAATTTCTTTTATATATATATTTATTTTTATATATATTAATAATAAAGCTATTATATAAATAAAGCTATTTATTTTATTTATATTTAAAAATAAATTATATAAATTAATATACAACAACAGGAAAGGCCAGTTTGATTTTCCCAATGACAAATCAAAGCGATTGAAAAAGTGTTTGTTGCTATAAGCTCCAACTAGACGATGAGTTATATTTTCATTTAAAATTAAATTTTGGATTTAATGACAACAAGCGCTTTTTACGAAATTTTGGGAAATTTAAAATCGAATGCCCAGTTTGGTTGGATTCATCATTAAGAGCCATTAGTCTTTTTCTGGTTGCGGTTGTTCTAAACTTGGATTCCATACTTTTATTCGGTATCCGAGGTGTTATTTCTTTTAATTCAGTTTAATCCGTTTCCTGCAAATCACCTTGAAATTCTCTTAGAATATTTTGTATGGATATTTTGCTCTCTTCCGATATGGAGATTTTTTTACCATTCGCTGTTTGAAAACCTGCAGAAATAAAAGAAAAATTATAAAAATTAGCATCAAAAAAGTGTGAGGAATATCAATCAATCAATAACTTCCACTTCATTGCAACATTCGATTAAGTCTATATCTATATATATTATTGAAACAAAAAATTAAAAAATCTGTAAATTTTTGCGATGCTGTCAAATTGTTAAAACGATATATTTTTGTATTTCCAATGTTTTATTGATATCATTCGGGCCGCCTAAGCAACTTACTTATGTTGTTCTGCAATTTATGTTTCCTTTGCATCTGCTTCTGATAGACAGATTTGTAGGAACTTTGGGGAATAGATTCTATGTTTTCACCCATTTTTCAAATTTTATATATTGAACTTTAATTTAATTTTTCTTGTTCTTCTTCTTCTCTTCTTTCTCTTATACATTGTTGTTGCTGTTGCATATCGTCAATATGAAGTATCGCAAGAGATGCAAATCAAAGTAGTAAAAAAGAATGAAAAATTAGTATTATTATTATTATATTATAATTTTAGACTAATGAAATAAATTCTTAGATTAAAAAAAAAGGCATTGAAAGTAATTTACATGCATTATGCCGAATACGATTGACTGATTTATTTAGTTTCTTTTAGAAATTAAACATTTTTAAAATTTTTAACGTTGCTAATCTGCGAAATTATTAATTTTTGGCATGGAGTACATGGACATGAAAGTTTGTATTCATCTTGCGTATTTTTTTCCTTCCTGAAGATCTTTCATTGTATTGCATTTTAGGATAATTATTACAAGCAGAACTTTCACTTTCGCCTTTTTGGCAGAGCTCATGACGAATGCGAATTACAAGCAACTATGTGCACATTCTTATTCTTTTTGTTTACTTTTGGCGTAAAAAAATTGCCGGTTAACGGTTTTCTAGCTATTTTGCAAGCGCTTCTGGAACATTAAAGAAGTGAAATTTTTGTGAATCTGCTAATTAAACCAAATTAAAGCAAAAATAATCAAAGATTTATATTTATATTAATACTATGAAATATTATTTGTGAATTGTGATTTTGTTACTTTGTTAATAAAGTGTATAACATCTAGCAAAGGCAACATCGAATCAAAAACGGTGAGAATTTTATAATAATTTTTTGTCTTAGTTCTGTCTTGTGACTGTGATGATGAATCGAATAGAAAAAAACCCATGATAAGTTTTTGACTTCGATTACCGAAAAAGCGCATAACCTATGGATCTATAACTTTGTAAAGAAAACGGCACTTGTTCTGCTGTTTGCAAAACTCTGAAAGAGACGCCGAAAAGAGTTTTTTAGTTTAGTTTATTTACGTTCATTCGTTTGGTGTCGAAAAATTTGTTAGCTAAATATTTCTTCGCTCCTATGCTAACGCAAACTTCTCTAAGAAAGCTACTAAACACGATTCTGTAAAACATTCTTCGCTTATTTTAATATTAAAAATCAGTTGTTGGGCTTTGCTCAATACGTAATTGGTGTTATTCGAAGTACATAAAGCGACCTTTTATTAAAACTAAATCTTTATTCTGATTATCCAATCAACATATATCTTTCTCTTTGCTATTATTTTTTAAATTTCTTTGACTTTATCCTAATTGTCGAAGCCGACGATGTATATATATCCTATACCCATAGTCTTGCTGTCCCAGCCAAGATCAGAATTGTCAAAGCCGGATCAAAAGCAAATCGGTAAATGAATATGTTTAAATGTAGATTATTTGATATTGTATTTATTGTGTTTTTATTTTTATTAAAGGTATTCGTCAACATCATTGTAGAAACTGTGAGAAACCGCGAGAATTTGCGACAATTGTTCCAGTAATCATAAAAATATTCCTATTATGGGATTTGAATTACGTGTGTCGCTGTAATCCTTGTTACTAATGGGATGTTTGGAGGGCTAGGCTATATCAACGCTTTAGATATTCAACGTTCTAATTATTTTCTACGCGAACTAAAGAGTAAAGATGCGAGTAAAATTGCGCCTTAGATTGCGGTGCTGGTATAGGCAGAGTTTCAAAAAATCTGCGTTTGCGTTGATTATTCAGTCAAGCAAGTGCTTTGGTGATTACGACCCATTCTACAACCGAATGGATATCCGTTTAAAAAGATGATGTTAAAGAAAGGTGATGATGATGTCCAAGCCAAGAAATAGGCTTGAATTGAGAATGTTAGATAGTCGGGAATTTAAAAATATATATCCGAAAAAAAAGTTGCTTATAAGCCGAAGTTGTCTGTGCATCCGGAAGTGGTTAATCGAAAATGAAGGTGTGGATAAGAGGATAATCAGCGTCTCATTCGTATGAGTGCGCAAAAAACCGAGCACATTACAAAAATCCATTAATTCGTTTTTATTTTTAAATTTTTCCTTGTTTTCTTTTTTTTTTTACAATTCCAAAAAAATTTGACTCAAAAATTCCAACACTCAAAACCAGAACAACCCGATGGACAAAAAAAAACTCCGTTCTAAAAAAAGAA